TGTATTCCAGGTACTAAATCAAGGAAACTGTATTCCAGGTACTAAAACAAGGAAACTGTATTCCAGGCACTAAATCAAGGAAACTGTATTCCAGGTACTAAAACAAGGAAACTGTATTCCAGGTACTAAAACAAGGAAACTGTATTCTAGGTATTAAAACAAGGAAATTGTTTTCCAGGCATTAAAACAAGGAAACTGTATTCCAGGTACTAAAACAAGGAAATTGTTTTCCAGGTATTAAAACAAGGAAAACTGCGGCTAAAACAGACTGTCCTACAGTAATATGCTTGATTAGTATTTACAAAACCTTTTTTCTGACCAAAGATTTTAACAATAAGCATTTTTCAAAATGATTTATCAAAACGAATTTACCAATCGTATTCGTTAATATATCTTTGGTCAGAGAGTAAATTTGCACAATTTGCACAAGTAAACTCAAGCTTAACATTTTGAAACAGGAATAGCATCTCCGAATTTTGTGGAACTTGTTAAAAGTTTAAAAACTTTGAATGTTTAAAAATGGATCTCAAAATAATGCAATTCAGTTTAGTTACCACTTTTTTGAATTCTACTCATCTGGTACAACGTACTTATATATACGGTCTTAAGTAGTAAATTTTAAAACAAAATCCAAATTATTTATGTAATCAGATGCAAAAGTGTTTGATTACAAATTTTAGGGGGATGGGGGTTGGTTGGTAAGCTTACTTTTTAGCGCAATCAACTGAAATGTGTACTTAGCTTAATCAATTATAAAAAGGTTAATTAGATGTTAGTACATATTATAGTTATTCCTGAAGTTTAAGCCAAGCAACCCTAGAAACTTTTCGTTGCTTTATAAAAAGCAAGTATGTATTTAGCTAAATCATCCCTAGCCTGTCTTTAGTGCAGTTTAGGTCTAACCAAGATACGCTCAAGTTTACATATTTAGACTGTAGGATACGATATATAATTATCGGACCGTTCTAACCAATGGGGTAAGAAGTAGGGAGGGGGGGGGGAGTTAAAGATTATATGAGGGGAAAAGTTGGTATTATTTTAATGAACATCTTAAACAACGCTCAATCATTTTACCCAAGGGTTGGACAAAAAGTGGCTGATTTATCTCAAGCTAGTTTTTCTGATAATTTATCTGGTCATATGACGGGATTTATGCTCAGGGCAAATTTTAGATAAAGCCATTTGCCATGGGTGGGGTATTTTAAAAGGGGGCGGATCATTTGTGAGTGATGAGGGCAAAACAAGGATGGATTAGGCTTAACAAATGATTGAGAGGGGTGGAAAAATTTACAACAAATTTACTTTTTTATTATTTTCGGTAAAGAAAATTTTAAATTGAAAGCATTTCAAAATACTTTTTTTCGAAATTGTAAACTTTGTCAAGTTTTTAACGCTCAGTTCGTAATACTAAACAAACAAAAAAACTTTCTTAAGTTTACAGAAATTTTGCATCGAAAATTTAAGAATATATGCTCAGTGTCCATATTTGTTTAAGTTACTTCACCATAGGGTGATGATAATGACTTGATGTCGAATTAAGGATTAATTTAATAATTTAGCAAGTTATAGCTCATCAGTTTAAAAAAGTTGTGTAAACTTATTGATTAAAGTATAAAAATTCTTTTTAATATGGATGAAATATATCAAAATCCGATTTGATAACAATGTAAATTTATCAAAATCTCCAAAATATCAATTCTTTCAGGTTTTTTTTAACTTTAACCAATTTATCATCCTTTTCTAATCAAAAGTATTACAGACTGCCAGTTTTCTTCAACAAATATAAATATATGTATATGAGCGAAGAGAGCTTTATTATATAGAAGATAGGGTTTACAAATTTTCGTTCAATCTCTTTCGCGAAATTTTCGTTGATGCAACAAAAAATTGAACGAAAATGAAAATTTTCGTAAAATTTTTTTTCGCGTAATTCGTTAAAAATTTTCTCAAAATTCGCGAAAATTTTCCGACCTTTCGGTAAAAATCGTATTTTTTTCCTCAAAAAATAAGTTCAAAAAGTATTTCTGAAAAATGTTTAAAAATAATTATTTTTTATTTTGAAAAGTATTTACATATGACACAAATTATTACATTTTTCAAGGGCTTTTCAAATTGAATTTTTTTTGCACTGTAGCTTAATTAATAAAAAAAAGTTATTAAGCATTTCTGATTTTTTTTGAAACACCGACCCCCCCGTTTAACTGTCCTTCACCCTACCCTATGCATTAAGAAAAATTGCCAACATTTTTTCACAACTGTGATGTTGAAAAAGTCTCATCCTTTGTGTTGTTGGGTAACCCTGTATATTCAAGATTCAACTCTAAACACTAACAGATGTGAAAATAGAAATGCAGAAAATTACTGATAAACTATTTATTTTCTTTTTTATCGAACGAAAATTGAACGAAATTTTCGCGAAAATAAGGTTGAAAATTTTGTACTTAGAAATTCGCAAAAATTTTGAACTAAAATGAACGTATTTCGTTCGTTCATTTTCGCGTATTTCGTTCAACGAAAATTTCGATGGAAACCCTGAATAAGAAGTTATATATGTATATATTAGACATATTTATTATGAACAGTCTAACTAAACAAATAGTTTAAATGGACACCCTAAATTAATATTTATTATGAGCAGTCTAACTAAACAAATAGTTTAAACATGAGAGCATTAATCTTTAACATTCCAGAGCAATTATATAATTAAACCTGTTCTAACCAGGCTAAGGTTGTCCAGAATTTAAACGATGTTTTGAGCCAATCTTTCTGCTAATAATAATTTTGGTTTTTGTTGCCAATCTTTCATATATTTTGAAACAATAACAATAAAAATAAAGTGTAATTTTCTGCTTTTCAAAAAATCAAAATATTTTTTGACATTTATCTTTGGCAATTCTTTTTTCGACGTTTACTTGTCACAAAAAGACAAATAAATCAATAATATATATATATATATATATATTGTGGAAGACGATGCCTGGCCGCGTTAAACAAGTTCCACAAGATTCAACAGAATGAGATGGAACGGATACGGGGCACGGTACTAAAAAACATCTACACGTGTGATCTCGATATAAAACTATTATTCTGAACCCTCTAGTAATAAGTTATAAGAAATATATACACTGGAAGTTATTTATGCGTATTCATTAGAGTCTGACTCACGTCCTCTATAATATATATATTTCATTTTATCTGTGATATATGTATCTATATAATAAAGCTCTTCGCTTATATATAAATATATATATGTGTGTTTGTGTGAGCTATATCTGATCAAACTGCTGGATCAAATTGGCGATAAATTATTGAGGGAACAAATGAGTATTCTAGGGGGGTAACATGAGGCTAAGAAAATTCGATTTTATTCAAAATTTAAATTTTTTATTTATTTCACGGGCAACGCAGGGCATTTCAGATGAGCAGAAGGCGAAACTCAAGTCTGTAATGGCGCTATGCGGTATCGAATGAACTTGTATTTCTAAAAATGAAAAAGTTCTCTTTTTTACAAAGAAAAGGTCAAGACCAAAAGTGTTCCTGCAACGAAAATTTTTGGGACACCAAGTGGCCAGGGTAGTAAGAGATGTATAATTATGGAAATTAGCCCTTTTAAATTTTTGTCTTACTAATCATCTAGTAATAAATCAGTCTCTGACTTAAATATTATTTATATAGTTGTTTATTGATTAGTGAACCTTAACATGCTGGGATTTTGAGTTTAAGTGACTGTAAAGGAAAAATGAAAAGGGGTATATGCTGAAATCTAAACATTTTAGGAGTTGATCGAGACCCATGAGAGCTTTAACTGCAGATGTTCCTGTCTCGAGAAATGGTTACAAAACTGTTATACAAAAATCTATTTATATAAAATTTTGTATAAAAATAATAGGTTTAAACAGATCAAGAGCACAGATATCCCAGAGGAGCCTCAGTAACTTAGGTTTGCTTCTATTATTATTTAAATTTAATAATTTTTCATTTATAAAAGATATAATTGAAAATGTTATTTGTACGTCAGTATCATGTGACCAGAACTCCCACCAATGGCACTGCAGTATACTGGTCACGTGATACAGAGGTTAGGGGTCAACCCCTAAAATGCTCAGGTTTCAGCCTGTACCCTCTTTCATTTTTCCTTTACAGTCCCCATAAGTATTGAAGAGAGGAGGGGGGGGGGGGTCCGTGCACCCCCCCCTAGAAAACTGAGGAAAAGAGGTTAAATGCAAATTTGTGAACTACATTTTTAAGGTGAAGTCATTTTAGAAAATGTCAAACCTTTAATTTTTAAGGTAACTCGATTTTTGAAAATGACGGAATTAGCTATATTTGTAATTTTATGGTTTTTCAAATATGCCAATTGTTCTCTTGTTGCTTCATTTTGAGCAGTAATTATTTCAACAATCTAAAAGTCTGTTATCAGTCAGATTTTCATCATAAAAGATATTGGGTAAGGGATTCAACTTTCTTCTTTTCAAGATGAAAACCAAGAATAAATAAGATTTTCATGTAAGCTTTGAAAATTGATTATTTACAATTGTGGTTTCTCTCTAAAGTGACTTGAGCGTTTCTGTTTCAAAGAAACCATAGAGGTTTTTGTGAGAAGTAATCATTTTCAAGCTGGAAAACCGAGGGTACATTCCACATTATTGATCTGATAAAGGTTTTAAACTCTGTAATTACAGGACCAGTTGAACTTGTGAACTGTACATACTATATTATTGATCTGATTAAGGTTTTAAACTATGGTCATGTACACATGTACACCTCTTTAATTACAGGTCCCTGGAACTTGTCAACTGTACATAATATATTATTAATCTAATAAAGGTTTTAAACTCTGGACATGTACCCCTCTTTAATCACAGGACCCCTGGAACTTGTCAACTGTACATAATATGTTTTTTCTTCATATTTTGTATGAAGAAGTTGTTAAAAATGCTCTGGTTGCCAATAAGTCGGATCTGTACTTCAAATTATCCGCAGTTCATAAGTTTTGACCCCAGGATAAAATGCGGAAATTTAAATTAAAAAACTAATTGGCTGATTTGTTCTTGGCCCAACCTAAAGATAAGGGTTGCAGAATCTGAAGAATGTATTTGACAAGATAACAAAATGCCGGTGTATTTATATCAGGGGTNATACTGTGAACCCAATCCAAGGATTCACAACTTGCATAAAGTACCATACAGTTTATTGCTCCCAAGGGAGAATATGCTTGTAAGCCTAGCAATTTTACCCAAGCCTATTACCAAAGATTATTGAACTCTTAGTATGTTTGCAGCCTGATGAGCCAATAGGCTAGACCCTAAAGGATATTGAACCCTTTCTTATCTTGTTTATCTCATGTCAGCACAGTTAACCAGGGCCGAATTTGATGCCAGACAAAGGAGTGTAATGGAACTCTATAGTCTATGTAGAAATGAGTTTAAACGCCCATCTTATGCCCAAGACCAAGCTAGTTCTCATCCTGTGCCTAATCATAAAGGTTGAATGGAAATATATATTCGCCACAGGCGAATGTTGTGTTATTTAGATCAGCCTCAGTAGATCCATTACTAACCAGTTGTATCCTTAAAATGTATAGCTTGTGTACAAAATATGTTTCGTTATTCCACTCAATTTTGGCTTTTTACATCCAGTCCTTTTTTCAAGTCTAAAATACATTAATTTTTTTAATTTCTCATATAAATATTTTTGAGTATATCATTTACTTCTTCATGATTTGTTGTCTGATAAAATTTTTTAATTTGTTTAAATAATTTTGCTATGTTTTTATTTATGGGTAATGAATACAGTGAAACCCTTAATAACGAATACATTGAAAGAATTCATCAAATGTCGTATTCTTCAGTTTCTGATAATGGAATGTTGCAGATATTTAGTTTTTTAATTAAATGATTATATGGAGCTTTTTAAAACTGTTCCTGCATAGTAATGGGGCTATTTATTTATTTTCGCAAATACTGGAATTTACCAAATATAGTATAAAACTCATTGAAAAATGTCAAGACGACATTTGATAAATTTTTCCGATGTATTCGTTATTAAAGGTTTCACTGTAATATAACAACCAATCTAAGCATGTAAAAAATACAAAATTTCCTCTCGATATTTAGATAAAAGCTTGCATATTTTTGCCAACCCCTTCAGTTAAGTAATTTTACCATTAAACACCGAGGTAAGGACCTTGTTTTAATTTTCAAGCTTTAACAACTAGTTTTGTTGGTTTAGTTTCAATGGTACCAGAACTCAGATGCTACACCAGTCCTAACACGTGTGTGCACGGTGATCCAGATGTTTTATTTAATAGTCAATTCGCCGTTACTTTCGAGCCCATTTTTCCAACAAAAAAATCGTAATTCCATACTTCTTTTTTGACGTATTTTGATTAATTGGCTTTATTTCGATGCTTCCAGGATATACTTAGATCTAATAAGATACACGTGACTGCAATCTACTTGAAGTTTTATGATTTATGAATGGCATGAAAGTGCACAACATACTTTGAATACTAAACACTAAGCATAAATTAACCTACAGTGTATATTACAAGGTGTTCCAATATAAACTTTATCTATTCTAAAACTGTTTAAAACAAGAGGGTAAAGCATAATATAAAATGACCCTTCATGCAAGGAGGGGAAAGGCTGATTTACCATTTAAACCTTTGACACAGTCCAACGGAAACAAATGTTCTGTTAAAGGATTAAAGGGTATGGATGTATTGGTCACTTAAAACCACGTTTATAGCATGGTCCAGTTTATGCAGGATTAGAAGTTTTAGTACACCCTCTTTATAGTGCACCTCTAAATACATTTTTTTATATGTTTATCATTTAACTGCCATGGACTTTTCTTTTGACTTGAATATATGCATGCATATATATTATCCCACCCACGCTGGCATGCAAGAACCAATAAAGCCTAGAGACTCCCTTAAAAAATGAATTTTAAAGAGTAGAAAATATAAATCATTTTTCAAAAACTATTTTTAAAAACAGATTTTTTCATGTTTAGATTTTAAATTTTATTTCAATTAAAACACATTTTCTAATTAATTTTAAAAGTTTAAAAAAACACTTATTATTTCTAACTCAAAGAACTAAAAATGTTAAAACCGAGGGATACTCGATTATCTGTTCTCTAAAATATTTAGCAGTACGTATCCTTGTTTTGCCACATAAACAATATTATCTTAATTGGTTCAAGATGGGGGACCTGACATGACCCTACGTTTGGGTTCTAGTCGGCAAAAACTTTATTTTCTAACGTCATTTTTGTCTCCCTGCCGATTTTTAAAAAAAGCGAGACACCCTGTATCATAAGTAAACTTTTGAATATAAATAAATTCCCAAAAATCTGTTTTCCAAAAATGTGTTTATTTCATTTTACAAATTTCTAGCTCACCTATAAACATAGTTTGCTTGAAGAAGAGTAAATTCAGGATATTCTCTCAACCCTCGTAATCCAGATTTATCAGCCTAATATATAATTATGTCTGTTAGCATTTCATTTCAAAATTTAAGAAATCTCCTGTATTTTCCTGATTTTGTTGGAGAATTTGTTTAAATTGAAAAAAGGATGTTAATTAACTTTACATTTTTAATAGAAACACACACTCCAAGAAACAGATGTTTTTTTAAAAGCTCTCAAAGGTGACAATTTGCAATAATAGTATATAATATATTCTTGTTAAAATGGTGGAAATGTGGTTAAAATTTTTGATAAAGAAACCCCAATAACTTTGTTAAAGATAGAGTGAACTGCAATTTCTGTGAGGAAATTTTGCTGATATATTCCAAGGTACTAATGCAAGGAAAGTTAATTGGAGTTGCGTATAGTCTGAGTACATATTGAAACCAGTTCTCTCTGGGGGGAATTTGTAAACAAGAATAGATGCATCAGTATTCCTTTAATATTCGAAGAGGTTAAAAGCATTACACTTTGAAAATTTTGATAATTCAAATAACAGTTTCTCATAACCAGAATATTTCATTGATTTTTTATGTGAAAAATGGATCCCATGTCAGGTTTCGACATCCGTCTTGTGTTTACATTACCGCCCAGAGACAGTCACTACAGTACAAAAGATGCGTACACCTCTGAGTCTGAAATAACTTTTCTTGCATTATAACCTTGACACATTCCTTCCTTTATGTCAAGGGTGTAAGGCAAGGAAAGTTAATTGCGGTCGTGTATACTCTGCGTACACATTGAAACCAGTTCTCTTTGGGCGGAATTTGTAAACAAGAATAGGCATCAGTGTTCGTTTAGTATCCGAGGAGGTTAAAAGCATTATAATTTTGATAATTTTGATAATTCATATAATAGTTTCCTATGACCAGAATATTTCATTCCTTTTTTTATGTGAAAGAAGGATCCCATTTCAGGCTTTTAAATCCGTCTTGTGTTTACATTACCGCCCAGAGACAGTACACTGCAGTACAAAATATGTGTACACTTCTGAAATAAATTTCCTTGCATTACATCCTTGCTTTACGTCAGAAACTATTTTTAACAAAGATCAAATCTGTGAAATCTGTAGAATAGGAAAAGCTTACCTGTGAATCCTCAGTAAAAAGATCAACTCCAGTTGAATCTAAATTCTTCGAACTCAGCACATAGGAGACCTTCATTCCTAAAATATATATGGATATTTTCACTTAAATACAAATATTTCAAAATCGTCTATACGGTTGCGAATCGACAATTTAATAAAGAAAAAATGACCGTATAGGCCTCAAAAGAAAATATAATGAAAAATCTCATGTTTTCCATAATTTTCTTGTATGCTGAATTCAAATCTGAAAAGCGCTTAAAAAATAAAAAATTGAATGAGTTAGAGATAGAAAACATTACAAAGTTAAAACACAAATATTTGGACCGTTGTTTGGTTACAATTTCTCTAATTTTAATATTTTTATAAGAACTTTTCATATTGAATTCAGCATAAAATTTCCAAGAAAATGAAGTATAATAAGAAATTTTTCAAAATATTTTTTTGGGGGCTTACGGTGATTTTTCAGATTGTATGAACATTAACAATTTGGAAATTTTTTTTTTAATTGCAATATTTTCTAAAGTGAAAAGTGGTGAAATATGGGTGTCCCAAGCAAAAATGGATTTTCAGTAACAAAATTTAAATCGTCTTGGATTTCTAAAATTTGAATTTTGTTGGTAATATTAAAAAGGACTGTTTTAATCTTTGTGAAGAAACAATCTCAAGAGCTGACGAGGGTCAACCCAAACCGAAATTTATTTTCAATAAATGTGGAACTAACATCTACTTTTTTACTCTACAGAGGTTTGATCCATCACCATCACCGAATTTTAAATTGTAATTTCAAGTTACCCTTCCTTATAAAATAGAGGCATGCTCTATTCACAAAGATAGCATTGAAGTTTTCCAAGAAATTGCATGATCTCTCTTTAAATCTTATCATAAAAAGAATAAAAAAACCTACCTGACTGCAAGCAACTTTTAAATCGGCAGAATTTACACTTTTTCCTTATACTAAAAATACACTCAAGTTTTGATAAAAAAATTACAATTTAAAAATGCAGTTCAAATAAATCGTTACCATTTAATTCTTTGACTTACCAACAATGGTGGAGAATTACTTATTTTTTAGTCTAAAAATTGAGTACCGGTACATTTGAGGCGTCAGTGTACCCTCAAATTTCAGGCACTCAATTTTCTGCCTTAAAATAAGAATTTCTCCTTCATGAATGATCAAACAAGAATTTAAAGATTTCCATTGTGAATCTTTCGTGCCACTATATAATTGAAGGGTTATTCACTATTACACGTTAAGGCCTTTGAAGGGACTGTAAACGTGATTTTGACGTTCAAGCTTTTTGATATCTAAGAAGTCACAGAAAATAGATATTTATAAATTGAATTTTTGAAAACCCATGTTGGACACGTAATATGCAAGATTTTCGAAAAAGTTATGTAAGGGTCAGCTACGTTGAGTTCACAGAGAACGCTAATGTGCACTCCAGTTAGTCTGCTATTTAGGCAACAATTTAGAGATAAACACACGGGTTTCTCTGCTGTCGATGAACAGTAAAATTTTCTTGGAATCATGACATTCCAAAAATGAATGTTTTTCCTTTGTTTGATTAAGCACGGGTTCATATCCAAACACGAGAAATGTTAATAGTTTCCACTCTGAAAAAAATATGAATATAATTTCTTTAAATGTGTTTTTTATATATTAGCATGAAAGATGAAATAATTGAAATGAAATTCTAAACCGCATTAGCTAGACAATCATAACAGTAATTGTGTATTTTAGCTTTTTAATTGTAGAATTGCCGTAACATTGGTAAACACTCGCCAAGTCACGTTTTGCAATCTATGTGTCCGTGTATTTACTGCCCCCCCCCCCTCCCCCTACATTTCAAACCAGAAATTTCCAATTTGCATGAGAAAGAAGTATACTTTGAAAAAGTGAACTAATAAGAGCTCCATGCACGTAGAGAACATTATGATTTAAACCAACTGTGCATATTTCATAATAACACAAACAAACAAAAATATTACTTAAAGGGACTGTTATAGGTTAGGTGAAAGGGTGAAAGGATGAATGGAAGGATGGATGAACAAAAGGTTGAATAATTGAATATCCTACCTGAACGGATCGTCTAAAGAAAGCTCTACAGGATTGGCAAGATATTCCTCCATAGTAACTGTGTCGACCAGCCTAAGCATTTAATTAACCATCAAGAAAGGAATTGTTCAGATATTTTAATGATGTGGGAGATACAAAAAATCTATGACAGAAAAATGGTAGACATTATTTTTTCTCACAAGGTTACCCACAAAGGATGAGACTGTAAATATATGAAATGAATTTTCAGTGCAGTTCTGCCTTAAATAAAGTCTTTTGATGTAGTATATAATGATCTGGCAAAAAAAGTTTGCACTTGCAGGGAATCATGAACGTAAGAATACAGTTGGGTATGGTTGGATTCGTTTTACAGAAACTTGTAATGTTTTTAGACTTTTGAAAGGTTTTACGACAATATGAGAAGGTTTCAACATTTTAGAACTTTATTATGTAGAAGTTTGTCTTTTATTGTCTTTTATGTAGAAGTTTGTCTTATATTTTCACAGGATAACAAATTTGCATGTTTGATAAAAGCAAACTTCTACAAAATATAATTTTAAATTGTTCTCAGTTTGTCGTAAAACCTTTTAAAAGACTAAAAATATTAAAAGTTTCTGTGAAACGAATCTAGCTATTTCTCATCAATTCCATACTGTCGTCTCTGAAGTCTAGTTCTTTGTGGATAACCCTTCACCAGCATTGTAGGGTTATCAACAAAAGGATGCCACTTTACTGACGACCTTCAGGCCTTTAATCAAACGATCTAAAGATTGTGAATTTTTGTTTGTTGAAGTAGCCCACAATGTGAGAGGAATAACACATAATAAATTCCGTACGGACTTATCCTTTCAGGGTAAAAAGTTTTGTCATAAACAGTTAAAAATGTTTATGTTTTTTTCAGTAAATATATAAATCTTATCTTTAAAGCACAGTCGTGCAGTACATTGTACATTGTACGATCAGACAAAAAGGGAACCGTTGTGAATCAGACACTCCGCTTAACTAAAGAAATTACGTGAACAGTCCCTTTAAATAGAGGTAATGAGAGAAAAAAAAATGTTTTAAAAATGTTTCTGTTCTGAATTTAAATTCGTGGGATAGACATCCAATGAAAAAGTACAGTAACTATGCTGAGCTAAGGATATGAAAATGATAAATAGTGTCAGCATAAAAGGATTAATGATCAGCGTTCATTTTTGCGTGACGGAGCAGAGCTATTATATTTCAGTAAAGTATAGCATAGGCAAACAAAAAGTGTAAAGTCATTTTCTTGAATGTGATCCCGGCATGGCAATTGTTCGTTTCTTCAATTATTTTCCAGGTTTTTTTCGTCTAGAAGCCCAAAATTTATATAAAAACTTTGCTTGTTTGTTTGTTTGTCTGTTTGAATCCAATAAACATAAAAATGCTGAACTGATCGAACCCACGGGAAGGTTTATGGATGCTCAGAATTTATAATATTTCAATTTTTCAAATCCACAAGAAAATATAATATAAATTTTCTAGAGAATGACCGATGGAATCTATGTCTCTTTTAATAGGAATTAAACCTGAGATAGAATTAGGGCCGCCCCTCCCCCTCTTAGGGATCAAGAGCTGGGAACTTTTAAATGGTGGATATCGGGATTAATGCTTAATCCACTCTTTTTCTTAATCTCGAGATTAAATAATGATTGTTCTCCTCTTGCTATTAATCTCCAGATTAATTAACCGATAGGGATTAAATATATTCCATTCTAAAGTTTTCAGCTAAGGATGGATTATCCATACTTTCTGGCTCTACCCCAACCCCCCCCCTTCCTCATTTAAACATTTTTGTATCTAATAAACTCTGGTACGTATTCGTAACCAATTTGCCAAATTGAAGTGCTCTGAATGGACAATAATTGTTCAAACATATTGCATTAAAATTATTCGAAATTACACCTTTTCTATCCATAATGAACGTGCAGGGTTACACACAAGGAATGAGACTTCAGAGACGACTGTTTGGAATTTGTTCCCCCTTACATTCATGGTTTATGGAATTGTTACAGTGTTACATTGTTTTTTCTTCGTCAAATTAGCCACTTTATATCTTCAATGTCATATTCAAAGAATTGCAGGTCGTCGTTAAAATCTCATTCCTTGTGGGTAACCCTGTATGTAAAGCCCCCGACTAAAGGGTAGAATATTATATGTGATGGTGTGGGGTCTGAATGTTTTTAGTTTTTGCCCTGATATTATGTCAGTATTCGTGTGCAAAATATGTTCTGAAAGTGGCGGCTACACGAAACCCTTCTTGGTGGCGGCAAATGGCCACTGCAGTACGTTGTAAGGCCGGGGGCAAACACTTCAAATTTAAACGGATTAGAACAAATGTTCAAAACTAAATGCATCAAAGAAATTGTTTTTTTTTGTGTAAAAAATTCTTTATTGGAATTTAAACAGGACAATTAATAAAAATGCGTTTTTGAGCTCTCAACAAGAATATCGCTATAAATCTGTATTTAAGGGGATATTCATCTATTTTGAAAAAGGTTGACAATTCTTGATTTACCTTATCTCCACAAATAGAGCAGATGGTTCCTTCACTATTTGTGTTTTCACTCCTGTACCCTTTCTTCCGGCCTCGCTTTTTAGGTTTAGGCTAAACAAAACATGGAGTAAAGGGACTGTAAGCGTAATCTCAAGTGACCCTCCATGCAAAAGATACCCTTGAAATCTTAATCCGATCAAAAATGTAGAGGATAACATCTTAAATATTTAAATTCTGACAATTCCTCCAGTCTTTCTTAAAAGCAAGCAATGCGGAATTTATTACTTTTGCCAAGAAACCACAATTGAAAATGAACATTTCTAATGCATACTTGATCAGACAGGACAGTTTTCTTCAATTGTTAAACCTCCGGGACCCGTTTTCCTCAATTGATATACCTTTGGGACCCGTTTTCCTCAATTGTTAAACCTGTGGGACCCACTTTCCTCAATTGTTGGACCCGTTTTCCTCAATTGTTAAACCTTCGGGACCCGTTTTCCTCAATTGTTAAACCTGTGGGACCCACTTTCCTCAATTGTGAAACTTTCTGGACCCGTTTTCCTCAATTGTTAAACCTTCGGGACCCGTTTTCCTCAATTGTTAAACCTTCGGTACCCGTTTTCCTCAATTGTTAAACCTTCGGTCTGGACCCGTTTTCCTCAATTGTTAAACCTTTGGGACCCGTTTTCCTCAATTGTTAAACCTTCGGGACCCGTTTTCCTAAATTGTTAAACCTTCGGGACCGGTTTTCTTCAATTCTTAAACCTTCGGGACCCGTTTTCCTCAATTGTTAAACCTTCGGGACCCATTTTCCTCAAAAGTTAAACTAAATTATCCTTTCTAACCAATTAGTATTAACGAGGTGCGCTAGAAAACGAATTAAATGAATCATTATTGCGCACTTTTACACGTTTTCAAATTAATTGCACATTGCATGCACATTTTCAATTTTACAGAATGGCAGTTTTGCACTTTTTAATGTTTAAAATAAATGTCCTAGGAGTGAAGAAAAAGTTGGTTTAAGCTAATTAAATCAAGTACTTATGATAATGACATATTCTTGTCTTAAACACGACACTTTTAGATAATTATAATTAACACTTTATCAAAATAGTGATAAACAAACCATTTGCAATTTTCATATTTTTCAAACGTACTTTTGAAACAAATTAAATAAATTAAAAATGTTATTTTGGATTTTTTTCGCCTTTCAATTTTCCAACCAGATTGTTTATTAAAAACATATAGATAACACGCAAGAATTTTTTCAATATGCATATTTATCTGCTATGAATCTTTCTTCAGTTATATATTTACCTAGCTGAAATGCCCGGCGTTGCCCGTGGAATTACAAAAAAAAAGAAAAAAATCCAAATTTATCCATGGGTTCCTTAAAAAGTTTAGCCGCGCGTTTAGCTAGGCAGAGCTAACATATACATGTAAAATATGTATATATCACTGAGCGAAGAACTTTACTATTTTTACTATTTAGTTTTCTATTTATTTTTTTATGTAATTAATTATTTAAATACATAGATTAATTTTACCTTAGCCAAGAGGTCCCATTGCAATTCAATACTGGATGAAAAGTTCATTATTTCAGTTTATAAAATAAAAAGAATTTTCAGTAAACGAGTTAACAGATTGAAAACGTCACAATTCACAAAATGAGAAACACAATGTAATTTAGATTTAATTAACATAATTTTAAAGGGCTTGGCTTCCAAGGGCGCTTTGCGTCCATCATCGATTTTAACTTTTAATTGTTGCTCTTTCTAGCAAAATACAAAAGGACAGACAAAGAGACAAACAAAATTATATGTATAGATAGATAGATAAGATACAACTTTTAAAACTTTTTATGAATAGATCTTAGATATTTTGAATTGAATATATATCCTTATAATGTTTTCCTAAGAGGAGGGGGTGTTGAATTTGTTAGAGTATTATCATATTTTTCTACTATGTTCAGTCTTGTTCTGAATACACCTTCTTCAACCTAAAAGGAATTAAGCCTTCGGCACTAAATCAAATTTTGCAATCCATATATCTTTGCAAACTTTGACATTTCAAATTTAGATTATTTGATCTCGAAGTTCTACGACATTGGGTTGCAAAGATATAGATTAGAAAATCAGAGTTTATACAATAAGAACTGTAGAATCTGAAAGGACATAAAGTCATAATTTTTTTTTTCAATAAAAAGTCTTGGTTTTATATCCTTTCAACATTTTTAAAATTCAAAAATCTATCCTCATGTCTTTTTCGGGGTGGAAATTTGTCCGTAACATTTTTCCTTGGTAACCTTGTTTTGGTAACACGTTGTAATTGTACCATCACGCCCAGTTACCACATTTCCATGGTAACATTTTCCATGTCACACTACACAATGAAAGCTTTTTCCTAGGTAACATTTTCCTTGATAATATTACGTCTTGGTAATAAATTGATTGGTAACAAGTTGCCTTGGTAACAAGTTGCCTTGGTAACCATTTGCCTTGGTAACAAGTTGCCCTGGTAGCAAGTTGTCTTGGTAACAAGTTGCCTTGGTAACAAGCTGCCTTGATAACAAGTTTCATTTATAACAAGTTGCCTTGGTAACAAGTTGACTTGGTAACAAGTTGACTTGGTAACAAGTTGCCTTGGTAACAAGTTGCCTTGTAAACAAGTTGCCTTGGTAACAAACTCCTTGGTAAAAAGTTGCCTTGGTAACAAGTTGCCTTGGTAGCAAGTTGCCTGGGTAATAAGTTACCTTGGTAACAAGTTGCCTTGGTAACAAGTTGCCTTGGTAGAACAAGTTGCCTTGGTAACAAACTCCTTGGTAAAAAGTTGCCTTGGTAACAAGTTGCCTTGGTAGCAAGTTGCCTGGGTAATAAGTTACCTTGGTAACAAGTTGCCTTGGTAACAAGTTGCCTTGGTAGCAAGTTGCCTTAGTAACAAGTTGCCTTGGTAACAAGCTGCCTTGATAACAAGTTTCATTTATAACAAGTTATCGTGGTAACATGTTTCCTTGAAAACGTGTTGCCTTTATAACATGTTGCCTTGGTAACAAGTTGTCCTGTATGGTAACAACTTATAAAATAAAGATTGTCCGATGAATACTTGTAGCGCCAGCCTTTAGGGGAAATGAGTTCCAAAACAAAAACTTGACCCAAATTTGCAAAGTTATCCATTTCAAGCGTATTTAAATTCATGCTGAGTTGAACAAAACTACACCATACATTTATATAAAATGGCTAAATCTATATATCAAAACAAAATATGTCAACTTTATGCTAAAAATAATGAGTGAGAATTACTTTTTTGTTGGTACTTGATTTAATTTTCGAACATATCCCTATTTTGAAACAACTACCGCATTACAGCTCATGTCGCGTTTTTGGAACATATCCTGTTTTTGAGACAAATACTCGAATTCATATCAAAGTCAATTTTCAAACATTTTCCCACAAACGTAACAAAACAAGATTTTTTGATATTGTAAAATAAAAACAAAATAGAAAAATAAAAACATACTGTTCTTTCATAATGTAAAAATAATTTTTAGCAGTGAGAATGCAAAAAAATAATATTGTTTTGTTCTTACAATATAGATTTAACTAGTAATTCGGGAAATTAAATCATCTTTTTACTCTTATTTAGCAAATAAAATGGAGAAACTAAGATTTTAGACATATTTTGCAGTTCTAAATAGTCTTCATGTAATAATTTTAATTTTCAGTGATTGATTTTGTAAGTTATGCAAGCGAGCTTTGTTCTGAAAAGTGGATTATATTCAAAAACGGGTTTTGTCTTGAAAACGCGACAATGATTAAAATTCAGGATATGTTCGAAAATTGAAAACCTGCCAATTACTTGAAAACGTTCAAGGGTTTTAATATAAAAAAAACTCCTATTATAATAGTGATTTTAGAATTTTTTTTTAATTGGGAATTGTTGTCCTCGTTAGGCTTAATAAAATGTTTGTCATAGTTTTTAATATCGACTTTTACTCTCGATATGGACTGGGAATGGGATCCTAAAAACCTCATCTTTCAATTTGTGCCCCATTCTATAACACTCAGTGTTAGAAAGGGGTCAAGTGTTAGTTTTGGAACTAACGTTCCGTGCATTTATATTTTCCTTCATAATAAAAAAATGAGAGTCCTTGATATGTCTGCTATTTCATTTTGCAAAACAGAACACTGCCTACATGCGGAACAAATTTTGAAATAACCGGAATACATTCAATCTGAATTTCCGTGTGGTCCTGGACACCGGGTCAGACTATCATTGTCATCTATCTATTTTTTAAAAAATATATGCCCTTATTTATGTGATAAATTTGGTTCTTGGACATTATGCTTAAAATGTGCCGGTAAAGTTGTTACTGTGCAATCATTTTACATATAAAAGGTCGGTTTTTAAAATGCATTTAGCTGTTTTTGGTGGATTTTTTAATAAACGATCTTAACTACGTGAATGACAATACAGCCCGGACATAATTAGATGTAGTAATAGTTACGCGTGGGACCTTATACTCTGTTTACTCGGCTCTAGTCATTAGAAAATATTGGCTTTTTGATTAATTAACTTGCAGATTACAAAAAATATTTTTTGTTTATTATTATGCTTACCCTTGAGGTATCCCTGCTGCTAGAACTGGATTCTAAACTAAAATAGAGATTATTATTTCTAATATATATGCTTCTGTATCAGACATGCAAAAAAACTGTTCGTTAATCGTTCTATTTATATCCACTTTTTCTCCCTCCCCCTCATGGGTTTCATGTTCCTAAATTTCGCAACTTAAAGGGAGTGTTCACGAAAATTAAAAGGGTGGCCAGACTGAATCCTAAAAATCGCGTTTTCAAAGTATTCAAGATTGCCATCGAACATTTTTTCGTTGAAATTTAGAAAATCAAAAAAATATATATTTTTCATAGTTCTGATTAAAATGATATGGGAAATAATGCTTTAAAAAAACACTTGAATTATGGATAAAAAAGTTGCGAAGCATCTAAGATGCCTAGTACAGGGTGTCCCACGAAACATGACAGTTGGTGATAAGTTTTAAATATCTTCTTTCATAATTTGTTAAGTTATAATTGATATCACACTCATGTATACCGAGTCCATTAGCGCCTGATCCAATCAGGGTTTAGTCATGTGTTTGGTGTCTATTCTGAACCAATAGAAATAGTTTGGTGGGAACATCTATCTTTCTATCTATCTCATTATCCAATCAGAGTTATGAATCCTTCAATCGGCGCTAGCGGTTAATGGAAATATTTACTTCTACTGAAACTATGGTAACCAAAGAGAACAATAAAAATATATCATATATGGCAGTCATATTTTAGTAAAATTGATTTCAAAGTAAAATATATTTGAGTAAAAGATTTCTTTAACCTAAGTCTTTAATATCTAATACAGTATATGGAAGAAGACATTCAAAACTACTTACCAACTGTCATGTTTCGGGGGACACCCTGTATGTAAATATTCAAATTGATTGTATCGAAAAGATCCACTCTGCCCTAGCTTCATCAAAAAATGAAATTTGTTTTCATTTTTTTAATCTTTTGAATGAATTTTAAAATCTGCAGGATGTCCCATGATACATGACAACTGAGAGACGATTTGCAGGTCGCCGTTGATTTTTGAAATGATAACCAAAATTGTTGAAATCTGAACAAAATTGTTATATCTCCAGTAATTTTGAGAGCAGAAAAAGGTAGACCACATTCTCGAAATGGCAGAACTAGGTTTATCGTGTGATTTTCAATTCAATGATTTTATTTCTAACATTAGACGACTGAGTACCGTAAATTATATCAAAGATCAATAAGACGACCTTCAAATCGTCTGTCGACTTTTATTTTCAGTGGGACACCCTGTATCCTTTACGCGGCCTGTATGTTTACTATATCAGCTTTTTATGACTTGTGACTTGTGCACGATTATCATCCAAAATCTTGAAAAATGTATAAATAATAGAAGATATATAACTATCGAGAATAAGAAGTATATTTTATGAATAGCTTCAGATCAGGCAATCATTAAGACCCTACGGATAAATTATATATACCAAGATTTAGAGTGGACTGTAGATTAGGAGTATGCATGAAAAATGTTCAACCAAGAGATTATTTTGAATCTCAAAACTAACTTTACAATCCTATCCATCTTTATATAGAACTAGCTGAAGGGCCCGGCGTTGCCCGTGAAAAAAAAATTAGAAAACATTTTTTTCGATTTTTTTAGCCTCCGCCCACTCATGAGTGTCCCCAAAAAATTTAGCCCAATCGGTCCCTCCGTTTGGCTGGCTATTGGCTACATACATATATAAACGAATGTCTTGTTTTATTTTATAGATTTAATTTTTAAAAATATTTTTCTTTAATTTTATTTGTTTTAAATACTCTTGGAGTTCTTATTCCTTAAATTGAATTGGATAAAAGGAAAATATTAGGTCTCTGATTTTTTCAAGAAAATTAAGTAATTTTATCCAATAACAGGGACCCTATACCCCCAATATGCCCGTAAACTCCCTAAACCAATAAACTCATAAAATTGAGCTCATTAATCCTCCTCAGTCCTCAACGTACTTTTTGTGCTCAACATATCTTATCTTAAGACACTATAGACCACCAGATGAGAGTGTGTGCTGAGTTAGGAGCTGAGCAGTTTTCACTTTTATAAAAACGAACTGATCGTTTCATTAACGACGGGGGGGGGAGGGGGGGCATTAAAATCGTTCTAAATCCCAGAAATGGTAGTATATATAACGAACTTAAAAATTGGGAGAACGAATCCTATTAAAGGGGCTGTAATCGAGTAATTGCAAATGACCTTCCAGGCGAATATTGCAATGCCCTTAAAAACTTTGTCTGATCAAGTATGACTAAGATTTCAAAAGGTTTATGATTTTATAAAACTGATTATTTATAACTGTGGTTTTCTCTACAAAAGTGACTTCCGCATTTCTAGTGTAGGAAAATAAATATAAATTATCAGAATTTAAAACTGTTGAGCTTAGAAAAACGACAATTCATCTTCCACTTTATAGATCAGAGAAAGGTTTAATGCGTGTCGTATCTGTTGTGAATCGGTTATTGCCATCTTTGCATGGAGTGTCACGCTTACGTCACTTTAAGCACCAGTGTTTATATCTAAAATTCAGATAATTCTGAGCAAATTGTTGCAAAAATATTTGATAATGTTCCAAACCTGTTTTGTGAATTAGAACTACAATAGCATCCAGTCTCCTCTAACAAATCCGTCTTATCCTCCTCCCTCGAAGGCTCTGATGTCGGTTTGAAAATCTCCGATTGCGGAGGAAAATGCTCCGTCGGATTCTCTGACTCTGGCCTACTCGTCTCGCAAAGTTCGTCCAGAAAGTATCTGGGATCATATGATTCAGAAAACATATCAAAAGCATCCTAAAAACAAAATATTTTTATCTAGACAAAAGAGAAAAAAATCTAAGTTGGTTTGAAAACTTAAAACAAATTATAATTTTTAAGTACCACAGGCTTTACTAGTTTATAGGGACAAAGTGTAAGATGGATTTATGGTTATTTTTCAAACAAGAACGGGCCACAAATTGTTTACTATGATGAACACAATAACAACGTCAATGTGAATCCTTGATGGAGGGTTTCTTTGAGTTTATAATGCCATTAAATAGGTTTGACTTTACCTGAAGTTGAATTGAGGTAGGAAATGCATCATTTAGTGGTTCTCCTCGTACTTCTAAATACACACTTATATATATATTTAATTACTGATTTATTTACTGATTATTGCAAAACATGAAACATAATGTTGATACAATATATATCTTATATATATATATATCATGTTTTGGGTCTCCTTGTTAATTACGCCGTTTACCCGCGCTTGGTTTTAAATCATGATTATAGTTGAAATGTCCGGCATTGCACGTTAAATTTCAAAAACGTCCAAAATATTTTTTAGCCTATGTTACCCCCCAAGGTGTTCCCTAAAAAAATCAGCCAATTTTGTCAAGCTTTCTAGCCAGCTTTAGATAACTTAATAAATATATATTTATGAGAAAATGCATCATGTAGTGAGTCACCTTGTACTTCTAGATATGTATCTTTTATCCACTCGTTTATAAATACTCATACTCATACATGTATATTATATATACATATATATATAAGGATTACAGGGTGAGTAAAATAAAATAGTGATTATTGATGTTTTATGCAAAATTTTCAAATTTTTTATTTTGTTCAAATTTTAGGCATAAACACAATAAAATGTGAGAACGAAAAAACTTACAAACATTTTTGGAATATTGAAATAAAAACTCCGCGAAACCATTTTTTTTTTGAAAAATTGTTGATGACTTCAAAAATGCAAATAATTGCCTTATAGAGGACGTGAGTCAGACTCTAATAAAACGCATAAATAACTTCCAGTATATATATTTCTTATAACTTATTACTAGAGGGTTCAGAACTAGAGTCAATATCGATATCGCACGTGTAGACTGTAGAGATGATATCAGTACTTATGCCCCGTATCCGTTCTAATCCCTTCAAACCTTCATAATCCTTCCCTTCAAACCTTCATAATCCCTCCCTTCAAACCTTCATAATCCCTCCCTTCAAACCTCCATAATCCCTCCATTCAAACCTTCATAATCCCTCCCTTAAAACCTTCATAATCCCTCCCTTCAAACCTTCATAATTCCTCCCTTCAAACCTTCATAATCCCTCCCTTTAAACCTCAATAATCCTTCCCTTCAAACCTTCATAATCGTTCGAATCTCCTAATCCTAGCTCTACATTATATCTATCTAACAATAAAAACAAGATTTAATACAACCAAATCTTTTTATTTGAATTTAATGATTGTTCAAACTGCGACTGTTATATATTAATGTCTAGATAATCTAGATTTTCAGAATTGTAATTTTCAGACATCGATTCTGTAAAAATGTCTTGTTTTTGAAACATTATCAAAATATAATAAATCAATCTTTATATAAAACCAAAACCCCTATGAATTCCCTTTCTTTTACTAGAGCTAAGAGAGGGATGTTTTATAACGAACCATCTAACTTTAGAAATCGCAAATGTTTAAGCTTGCAGAATAATAGTAGTTTAATCTGAGGNTGAACATTATTTTGAACTGCCATATTAAAATCGAGAACCCTTAACAATTTTATTTTGAACTTTGGATACAAACATAAAGATTACATTTCACATTGGCAAAGTAAAAAAAATTAATGGAAAAATTGTATGAATTTAAATTCTAAGTTTCAAGCAGTTACCTTTTTATCTAAGACTAAGATATGCTATCAGATGGAATGTAAATCGTACATAAAGTTTATTAACCTGTCCTAGAAATGGACATTTAGAATGTATAAAACCTGGCTGTAGCAAACCCAAAATATATTTGATATAAATTGAAATATTGCTAAATTGCAAAAACCAGATGCTGAATTTAAAGAATTTGAGCCACGGCATAAATTTCAGACACGGCTCAAATATGGTTGGTTCCACTTAAAATTGTATTCAATGTTAAAAGATTTTAGCCGGCGCTCAATTGAAACCGGTTTTTGGTGAATTTGAGACGCGGCTCAAATTTATAAAATTCGGACTTAGATATCCTAAATTTCTGGATTTGTGCCGACTTATAAAAGGGACAGTAAGCATAGTTTAAAGTGACCCTTCATGCAAAGATGGCAATGCCCGATTTTCAACTGTGCCCTTAAAACCTTAGTCTGATCAAAAATGTGGGACCGTCGTTTTTCTGGCTAAAAAGTTTTTCTGCAAGCTTCTTGTAAACAAGAAATGCGCAAGCCACTTACACTTTCGATGAGAATCCGCAAACAAAAATGAACAGTTTAAAGAAACAAAAACATTGATATCTAATTCATACTTGACCAGATGAAGCTTTCAATAGTAACGTTTTAAATTGGACATTACCAATTGCCATCCCATATTACAGTCCCTTTAACTTTTAAATTTACAAACCATAAAACCTCCTTTTTTCTTTTCAGTAACCCATAAAGGAATTGTTCATTATTATGAAATTGCACAAAGTTATGAACAAAAAGTAAGGAATATTAAATTATCACTGATTGTAAATAACAATTTGGTAGTATTTTTCTTACAGAATGTTTGTAAATACTTTTGGTAATATGGATATTTGGAACAGAATGTTAAGATTTTTACCTTTAGAGCTGGGGTCTAACACCGCCTGTCCTCCTATTCTTTCATCTAATTCAAATCTATCACTTGGATCAATCATATGTTCGTCTTGATCAATCAATCGATCATTTTGAATGATACAACTATGTTGACTGTGATTATGACTTTCATGATTCTTGTATCCAATATCAGCTGTGATCTGTAGTCCTGCACTTGGATTCCTCTGTATTACTGGAACCCGACCTAATCATTTTTAATATTCATTTTTAAAACCTTTAGGAAACAAAAGGAATTGCAAATTTAGCATAAACTAAATTTTCTAATCCCTACATCATTGGGTTGCTAAGGTATGAACATTGTGACAACAATGACTCAATTAATTTTTAAAGAAATTACTAAGGTTTTTAAAGAATTTTCTTCGTTTTTTATTGTTTCCTTGTGTAAATAGTAAAGGACTATGAATTTAATTTTGATTGGCCCTTTTGACCCGATTAAAAACGGTGTCCTTTGAGAAAAAAATTACGGATTTTTGAAACTTGAACAAAGAATTAAATTGTTAGAATATTTATCACTTTTCTAGAGGCCGCGATTAAAAAAGTTTGGGAAAATACGGCTCGGGTCTTAGCTGTCGTTGGGCCTTATTGACGGCTTGAGCTTTCGGATTCAAACTGCATCTTATTTTCCACAGAGTTGAGTTCAAAATAACGGCTTAATATTCTATTTGGCAGGTTTTGATGAGAACAAGACTCAACATTGAGCCTTAATCTCCACTAAAACCAACCAAGGTCGGTTTTATTTTCATTGGGTCCAACTCCTAAGTCGAGCCTAAGATCTTGCAAGTATCAGCTGTCTATCACGGGACACAAGCTGTCGTCAGAGTTGGGTCGAAGATTGGGTCTAAAAGTCTGGTTTAAGGAATTACGGCTCGAGCCGAAGCTTTAAAATCGCTGGCTCAGATGGAAAAGTAACGATTTCTTTTTTGTTACTCATGGATGAAGTTTAAAGGGTAACGTGATGGGGGGGGGGGGTGTAATTTCAAATTAGTTTGAGAGTCCCTTTAAGCTCCCTAATCATGCTCATTCAGAAACTGCAAATGCACAGAGCAGGCATGATTGTGAAAGAAAACAAAAACTAATTAACACAGAAATTTATATTCAGCTTCTTATAGCTGTAAATTGCAATAATATTACAACATTACAGAAAATAGTAATTACGTGTTGGAGAATAGGGCAAAAAAATGCCGAAACATGGTATTGAAAAGTAACACCTAAACCAATTATTAACAATTTATATAAGATCCACGGTTCATTTTTCAACCACCAAATAAAAATTCAAAACGTATTTCTGATTTTAACCGAATCGAAACTTGAAATGAGCATCAGACTTCCCCCTAAAATATTAGAATTGATATGTTAAAAAGACAGAAGGTTGGCACAGTGCCTGAAATTTGTCATAACTAGATTCAAATATTGGGATATGTTCATTGTTCATCCATCAAACTCATAACATCCGGAGCCAAGATATCTTATAGCATACAGATTACAGGGAACAGGTTTAAGGTAACGTTTGATAAAAAATTTCTTCTTAATATTTACTTTCCTTGTCTGTTTGTCTGTCTGTTTTGAATAAATGCCAAAACGGCTGAACCAATCGGGCTAAAATTTTGTGTGGGACCTCACATGACCCCAGGTAGGGTTTATGGATCATCACAATTGAAATATTTTCATTGAAAATTCTCCAATTGGAACAGAAAAATCCGCCAAAGAATGATTATAGAATAAAATTGTTAAAAGGACAGGAGGCACAGCGGGCGCCCTAAAAGTCTAGTAATCCTTAAATTCTTGAATTCAAACAATTCATAAACATTTAAAAATTTGTAATTTTAAAGTCTACAAAAACANCACCTTTGATATTTTAAAGTCTAATTCCTACATCCATATGGAATAACCTTTGATATTTTAAACTTAGATCTGACAAAATTCAGATTTTGAAATAGCTATGTTTACGACATTGGGTTGCAAAAACGCTATTTCTTTAAAACTTTAATAATAAAGAACTTCTAAATGATAATTTTAGATCATTAATTTGCTACATTTATCTATTTTAGTTCTAGACAATCAAGTTTTTTTTTATCAGAATGAGACATTTAATTACGTGCTTTAGACAAATTTGAAAAAATCTAATTTTTTACCAGAGCTGAAAACCTTAGAATGGTGGATATTGAGATTAATGCTTGATCCTCTCATTTTCTTATTCTCCAGACTATCCTAATCTTGTAGTATAGTATCCTCTGAAAAGTGTATAAAATTCAACCAATCAGAGTCGCGTATAAGAAGCCGATAAATTTCAAATTTTGCGCGCCATTTAAGATTATATACAGAGACGGGAGGGACTCTCTTAATTAATTTTGATTTTTCGCTAATATATCCAAGAAAGTACGGTTTAAGAAGAAAATCAAAAGTGTTTCCTTCGGATACTCAGATTAAGTAATTGGGATTGAGAATATCTCATTCTATAGTTTTCAGCTCAAATCTGATTATTTTTAGGATTATTTTAGACCCATCATTATCTTCATTAGTCTATTGTTAAAATGATAACACGATTTTCAGTTCAGTTCTTTCTTATATAAAGGAGCAAGAAGAAGTAAAAACAGCTGTTACTATTTTACGGACCCAACATACAATCAAACTATCTTAAGAATGTTTCAGCTTTTTGCTTAAACAATATCTTAAAGGAACTCTACGGGTAATTTCAAGAGAGCCTCCATGCAAAGATGGCAATGCCCGATTTACAACGATACCCTTGAAACTTGAATTTGAGTAAAAATGTGGAAGAAACCGTCGTTTAAACTGACTCAAAGCGGTTTTTTTTCCTGTGAGTTTCTCCATTGTTTCTTACAAGCTGAGAAACTGCAAATGAAAATGAAGAAACAATAACATATATATCTAATTCGTGCTTGATAAAACAAAGTTGTCAAGGGTACCGGTAAATCGGGCATTGCCATCTTTGCATGAGGTTTCCTTGAAAAACGCTTTAAGTTCAAAATTTCAAACTAGTTGTTAAACATTTCGAAATGTTTTCGAAAAGTTTGATTTTTCGATTAAAATGTCAGATTCTTCTTCTAAAACCGAAATAAGACAAAATTCGTAAAAAATCACAATATCGGAAATTTGTTTGGTCCCAAAAGATTCAAATTAAATGATTTAAAAATTAAATTAAAAATACTAATAATAATGAATAAATAATAATCCTGATGTCGGTAAACGATCTTGTTTCACAATAACAGACAATGTTCTCAATCCTCCCCCTCCTCCTCCCTCCAAACTTTCCAACATTTTTTCTGAAATTTTTATTTTTAAACCCAAAACTTTTTACAGAACAGTTTAAGCCCAAGAGAAGATAAATTTCACGAAAATACTTTTGAATAAAATTGATTTTTAAGGAACTTTTTACTGAACAATTTATTCAACTGGTAAATGTTAATGGCTAGTAAACTGAAACCTTTGTTGCTTAGATTGGAGAACTGATCCTAAATCTATCTTATTGCTGATCCACCTGTTAAACGGGATTAGGCGTAATTCGTAAAACCTTCAGATCTCTGACATTTCCAGAAATTACAAAGAAAAAAATCTTTCATATTTTTAAGCCTCAAAAATTCTAATTTTTTGTTTGTGGCGAAAATGTCAGTGATTCTTGTTTTCATCAACTTAACATAGTTTTAACTTTCACTTTTATGTTTTTGTTATTTAAGTATATAGTTTGTTTTACATATAAATGTTGGCCATATGAGTTTGGACTAGATTACTTCAAAGCCTAACCAGTTTAGTTGTAATAGTTTTATTTTAAATGTTGTTTTAGTAACGACAGTTTTAAAACATTTCAGTAAATATAAATGAAGACAGAGCAGAAGATAGAGGTGTGTTTTGCCCCCCCCCCTGTGTGACCTTTCTAGTTATAATATTTATAAATAGGATCGATGAAATCCGTTTAATTGATTTTGTTTGTTTGGCTGGAATCTATGTAGGTTAAGCCATGATCTAAAAAATATGATACCAAGCTACTGGACACTGGATAATTGATACAGGATACTGGGTTTACTTGATACTGAACACTGGATATTGGATACTGTATACTGGATACTGGATACTGGATACTGGATACTGGATACTGGATACTGGATACTGGGTACTGGATACTGGATACTGGATACTGGGTTTACTTGATACTGAACACTGGATATTGGATACTGTATACTGGATTTTGGATACTGTATACTGGATACTGGATACTGAATACTGGAAACTGGATACTGGATACTGTATACTGGATACTGGATACTGGACACTGGATATACTGGATACTGGATACTGGATACTGGATACTGGATACTGGATACTGGATACTGGATACTGGATACAGGATACTTAATACTGAATACTTAATACTGGATACTGGATACTGTATACTGGATACTTAATACTGAATACTGGATACTGGATACTGGATACTGGGTTTACTTGATACTGAACACTAGATATTGGATACTGTATACTGGATACTTTATACTGGATACTGAATACTGGATACTGTATATTGGATACTGGACAATGGATACTAGATACTGTATGCTGAATACTGGATACTATATATTGGATACTGGATACTGGATACCATTTTGAATCATTCCTTAACCATCTTTTCTCGGATTTCTTGTTGATCCGCGGAATTGAATCTATCAATTATAAAAGTGTACACTGAAAATATCGAATTCAGTCACTAAAGTTTTTACGTTTTATTTCATAATTTAGTTTTCATAATTTAGGTTTTATTTAAACGTTGTAACTTATGATTAATCTAGTTTTATATTTCAATGGCCTCCACACGTACAAGTTTGTTAATTAGATCGACCCCCACTACAACCTTATATTCAACCTATAAACCATTTTGTTTTGAATCTTCATGACAGAATTAAACAGATCTAAAAGAATAATACTTGTCTTAAAACATTCATAAAAAGTGAATATTTGCAAATTATCTTTTTTACATATAATTATGTATACGTTTGACTGTCCCTTTTTTGGGAAAAAAACCTTGTTGTTTATTCATTTTTATGAGGTTTGTTAATATTTTTTATGTTTTATATTAATGGTTTTTATATCGTTAGAACTGACGAGGGTCAACCCATACCGAAATATATTTTCAATAAAATGTTGAACTAACATATCTACTTTATTAACTCTATGAGGTTTGGTCCATCATCATCACACAATTTTAAATCTAAATCGTTCGTTAGAAAACACATTTATTTGGTAATTTTATAAAAAGAAATATGTGAATAAAAACTATATACTCCTCTATTTTTAATTCATTTTTTTGATTGATATAGAAAATATAAATGCAAATACTTTGCGTACTAAATTAAAATTTGAAACTCTTTTTTGGTGGTTTATGAAGAACGGAGCTTATTTACTTTTTTATATATTATATAATTTAATGAATGTTTAGTTAAACAATCTGAGAAATTTACTTTCAGGTGGCCAGTGTCATTTAAAGTAACGTTAATTTTCTCAAATCCCCTTTTTTCTGAAGGTAATGTCACTTAGTTTGGTTCACACTAATTAAATTTATATGCCGGACCTCTTGGAGCGAAATAACAAAAATTGAATTAATATAATTCCAAAGGAATCGAGTTTTTGCAACAAACTTCCATTTTCTAACCCCTATAACTTTGAAACCTGATGGTGTAGACCTTTGATATTTCAAACTTAGACTATATGATCTACCAGAGTTAATAGTCTAGGGAATTAAAGGTCTAGGAAAACGGGTTGCTAAGTTATAGGAATTAGAAAATCTGAATTTGTGGCAAAAGCTCAATTCCTTTTCCGACGCATGTAATTATATTGTGATGTTTTTCTTAGCAGGAATTTAAAGACTAAAAAGTTTATTTTGTACTTTTAATTATTGCTTTAAACTTTTCTGAAATAGAAAATTTATAAATGTAAAACTGAACATTTCGCCTTATGTTCACTGTCACAGGTTCAATTCCTTACTATTGAGTATAGTTGGGCACCATACACTCTCTATCCTCTATCTCTCTCTCTCTATCTCTCTCTCTTTCTCTCTGTCTGACCGCGGTAAATGTTGAAGTGGCGGGATTTGATTGAGTTGAACTCGGTATGGAAAAGTATCGTAAACCTAGCCCAACATTTGCTGGTAGCCTTTGGAAAATAAACCAATTTTAATGAGATTTTTACAATGCTTTCTATTTTCAATCCTTTTTTCTAAACTCTAACACTAACATCTTTTTCGTATTTTTGAACAGGTTATAAGGGGGAAAAACTGGGGAGTTGAGCCTTTGCCACAAACTCTGATTTTCTAATTCTTATATCTTTGCAACCCAATGTCGTAGACCCTAGATAATAGATATTTCAAACTATTAATTCAGTAAGATTAAATAATCTAAGTTTGAAATGCCAAAGTTGTACACCATGCTGCAAAATAGATTTAAAAATTTAAGTTTGTGGCGAAGACTTAATTACTTTCTGTTCTAAATTTCAAACGAAATAATCTTAATTATGAAAAGATTTTGAAAGCTCGATATTACGAAAGTTTTTTTCAGAGTTTTGCCATTTAAAAAGCTATAATGGCGCAGTGACACTTGTATCTAAGGATATTTCCTCTTTATCTTGTTTAAGTGTTTTCATTTATTCATAATTTTGTAACCCGGACACAGACAGACGAACAGATATAACAACTTTATATGCATATATACATATGCTTTAAGGGCGCTTCGCGCCCATCTTCTATTTAAATTTTTAACACTTTCTCGATTGTAAAACAAAAACAAAATAAAGTTCACGGATTTTATAAAAAAAATCGTGGATTTTCAAAATTTAACGAAAATCGACTTAAGTTGGACGCTAACTTTTTAAATTTTGTTTATCCATAAACCTTTCCTGTGGTCATGCAAGGTCTCAAACAAAATTTTGACCCGATCGGTTAAGCCGTTTTGACAGAGGGGGGGGGGGAGGCAAAAGATACTAATGCAATGTATAGATACGTAAAAGACTAGAAGTGAATGAGCATCTATGGAACTAATTTAGCCCCGACTGTAATAAATGCCCAGAGTGTCCTAAAAACACAATTCTTAAGAGAAAAAATCTGCAGTGGTAGCGGTTGAACGAACGGTTGAGAATGGAAACACATCTAAGACTCTTTTCAGTTTAAGAATAAGTTTTTAAAAATGTTTTTTTTTCATAAATGTTGTGTCTTTAACCAATGGAAACACAAATATTTAAAAATAGTAATTTTTTTTCAACCGCTGGAACTAAATTTTTTTTTGTAAAACTCGTTAAGCCTTCAAGTGCTGGAAATGCAAGTTTTTATTGTACTATTTTACACCCAACCATAAAAATTACAAATTTTTTTATAAATCGGCGCTACTGAAACTATAGTGGGTTGAAGGCAAAAATTATGATTTCTGCTGTTGAATCAATTTTTGATTATAGAGATAGAAAAAAGTGGCAATTCTTATTCTGAATTACGTCGTAGAGTCTTGTCTTAATTTCCATTGAAAGACCCTGAAGATAATAATATACAATGGCCTGCACATATTTATGTTATTTAGTTCAAATATTTTAGATTGATACAACATCTTTATATAAATTTAGCTTGTCTGGGTGTCTGTTTGTTTGTTTGTCTGTATCTAATAAATGTCAATACGGCTGAACCGATCAGGCCCAAATTTTGTGTGGGACCTCACGTTACCCCAGTGAATGTTTTTATACGATCAAAATTTCAAATTCTTGTCTCCATCAAAATTCAATTTTCATTAAATTTTATAAAATTTTGAAAAATTCACGAAATTTTGTTTGTTTAAGTCTAGGTTTGGATTTTGTTTTCTGTTGTTGAAATAAAATAACTTTGCTTTTAGATTTTCAAATATTCCAAAACAACAGTAATTTAAAAATTAAGAAACTACCTAACTCCATGTAAAACAAGAAACTCCCTTCCATATTCCCAAGGACTCTTTAAAATTAGATCACCCCCCCCCCCCTTCCACCCATAATTTTCCTGACCTTGCCTGTAGTAAATACCTTACTCCATAAACCGCTCTCGAACTTGTATCTATCCAGGTACCACTCAGATTCTCTTGACTATCAAAGTCAACCACACGAATACGATCCGTGATCTATCAACGCCACTACCACTGGACGCGATCTCATTAGCTATCAATATCAATTGGAAGCTCGGAACTATCAATCCCAAATCAAAGGGGAGGATCCTTAAACTGTTTATCAAAACAGGGAACCACGGGAATACGATCTGTGAAATAT